CTGGGCTTCTTCCGTCAAGGCCTTGGCAAAGCCCACGCCTTCATTCAGTGGGCGCGATTCGAGGATGCGAAGTTCTATTGACAACGACTCGTCCGCGTCGAGCGCATGTAAGATCGCGGCTTTGATGGTCGAGGATGAACTCAGGGTCAGAATTTTGATCCGTGCCTGCTCGCCTGTCTGGCCTTGAGCACTTGATCGGAACTTGTCCTGCAAGAATTTCGAGAACTGGTGACTCACTTGTTTGGAGATCTCACCTCGCCGAGTGACGGACGCTTCAAGGCTTTGTCTGACTTTCTCGAGAAAATCAGTCGATCCAGGTTCAACTTGGGCCTTTGCCTGCTTCAACGCTGTGGCAATAGCATTAGATATCGCCGCCGCCATGCTTGGCCGCCCATTGAAGGCTAGATGGAATGCCTGTCGTTGAAAAGTCTTCCACCACTCATCGAAGTCTCTATGTTGCTGCGTTTGTTGGTCATATTCAACAATCTTGATCAGAGACTTCACCGCCATGGTGGCTAGTTCTCGTGCGCCATGTGAATGGTCGAGCCGGAGTTCCTCGAGCCCTTGATGCAATATGCTATTGGGATCTACCCAGACCTGGCCGAGCGTGACTTCTAGTCTGGGCACGCAGTCATCCAGTATCTTGCCACTGAGGATGTCGTCAACATTCTGCCACTGGAAACCCAGATGCTCAAAGTTCATCTGGACCCCCAGCTTCTCCGTGTCGTTGTCATTGTCGACGGTTTCCTTAGTCAAGCGAAACGCAAACGGCCAGACTTTCCAGATGCGTCCCTTGACCTGGTGCTCACTCTCGCCGATAACCACAGCCTTTTGGTCGGTAAACTCAAAGCCAGCCCCTCGTCTCCACAGCTCGATCTGCTGGGGTCCGAATGAAGTCTCTTCTTTCAGTTCTCGCCAAGCTGCATCCAAGGGAGACTTGTCATAAGTCTCGATGGAGCCGGCAATGGGCGCAAGCTTCCTCCGATATGTGCTGACCTTGTCGGAGCGGCGGAACAGGAGGACCCTGTATGGCTTGGACGCGTATGGCTGATGAGGGAACAGGAGGACCGACACAACGGTGCGCCGTTCGAAGTTGTGCCCAGCTGCGGCAAGGGACTGAGCCATCACTGATGTCGACAAGCCAAGATGGTTATGATCTCATAGTTAGGACAGATGAAAGGGCAAGGACGTCCGAGTATGCTTTAGGAGTCAATTTGTAAGTCTAGGCGCTTGGTATGAAGAATTAATATCTTCGAATTAGTCGATGGACAGATGCGGTTTTGGTGTCACACCATCGACAATCTCTCGGCTTGACGAGCTTCAGGGCGCCAGAGGAGGGTTTCCGAGATCATCCGAGTGGAGGCGGCACTACCTCGCAGGGTGGTTTGAGCCGTAGTATCTGGAGACTGCCCCTGGTTCGTACCGAATATGCTGTGTTTGTTTCCACTACGAGGTACATTATGTCCTTGATGCAACTCAATGAGGTGTTGGGAGAAACTAGAAAATATCTGTCAGACAGAAACATTTATTTGTCAGGTGCGGCTGCGACATGCCGGAATAAAGATATTCCGGTCCAATGCGCACGCCTTTGTTCCCGCTCTACCCAAAGTACGAGGTATTCCTCCCTTTTGCCCATTCATCCTGGACCCGGTACATTCCTCTGGCCTTCTTGAAACTTAGTAGAGTGTCTTCATATACGAATCGATCAGAATGCATTGTTGTACAACGAGACTCTTCAGTCCAAACCCCATCACAATCTCCCTATTGTACGGTAATGTTACAAATCGCAAACCATCAATACATCCACCCTGGCCTCAAGCTGCCACTTGGAATGGCTCTCGACAAAGACCCTCGTACTTGGCTGATACCGCAACAGTGTCCTGCCATGCAGATGCGACCTTCTTGTTCCGTTCCTTGCACGCTTGCGATCCCGCCGTCACCACTCTCATCTGGCCCTGGGTTCGTGCCCCTTTAACTAGGGCCGACGTCCGTGGTTGTCTCTTTTCTGCGAAGGCCTTGAAGATTTTTGGTAGACGCTCTTTCAGCTCATCGAGAGCTCGGTCGTTGTAGTCTGCTACCGGACGCAGATCTGGCAGGGCATGGCTGAGGTGGTAGCAGTCTTCCCTATTCGGATGTCAGCTGAGCAACACAAAGCAGTCCACGAATGCCTTACAATGCCTGGTTGGCACCTTGTCCAAGATGTGGGCTTGTGGGATGTGCAGCGTCTCCCACAAGCACAATTCGCCTGGTATGCCACTGATCCGGTGTCATCTCATCTCGGTCAAACAACCCAAACTTGATCATTCGAGCGGCAGACTGGATCAGCTCGGCGGGTGACTTGTCCTGCCAGTGCTCAAGGTGAGCTAGCAATTTACGCTTCCTCTCGTCCATCTCGTCTGCGGTGATCAGTCCCCAAGAAGCCTCGGACCCGGTCTCTTCGGGCAATGTCAAAGCCCAGGATGTGACGTCGGGCGAGACAGGGTATGTAATCATGTGGACTCCTTCACCATAGAAGTTCTGCATGTATGGTTTGCCTTTCATTGCCTGCGGTGTCGAAGAGAGCCCGGCGGTCTGCAGAGCGGTCAGTCGTTGAATCCATCCAGGACTCGGATCACTCACCTGAGTGAGTCCACTAAACAAGGGTAGTCCCTCGGTGGTCCCTTTGTTTTTCAGGAGGATTCTTCTGGAAGCAGCCTTGATGCCATCACAACCGATGAGGATGGAACCTGTCACGCTCCGGCCACCCTTGAAATGAGCAGTGACGGTGTCCTCGGTCTCCTCAATGTCCTCCAATTCCCAACCTTCGCGCAGGTCGATGCCCATGTCAATCAACATGTCCTTGAGCTTCAGGTTCAGTCCAGTGCGCTTGACTCCCATGGCATGTTGCCCGTATTTCTCCTTGAATGACTTGGGCTCTGCTGAGAAACCCAGCACTTCCCCATCGGTGGCGCAGTCGAGAAATCCCTCTAGTGGAAGAGATTCTCGCTCGATCTCTGCTGCGAGGCCGCCCAAGTCCAACACTTTCAATCTGTGTCACAGTTAGTGCATGTACTAGGGGCCACATGCCGGGTGGCCATCATTTCTCTAGACTGACCCATTTGGCATCAGCATTAGAGATGCTCCAACATCGCCCAACTGCTTCACTTTCTCAAACACAATCGGAGTGTATCCTTTTCTTTTCAGGAGGACGGCGAGAACTGGGCCTGCAACTCCACAGCCGATGATGAGCACGGTCACAGGAGCCATTTTGTCTTTTGTGTATCGTTCGTCTTATTCAGGTCTTTCTGGTTTTCGGTTGATGGTACATTTCACCCTCACCACTGCCGGCCATCATCCCATCCTTTATATCTCCCATTGGCACGCCTACCCGTCGAGATATTCTGCAACTGAAACAGCATTCTCTGGGAGCAAGTTCTCACAAGAACATGTCGCGCTCTCTTGGCAACAAGGCGCCCACTATGTCATCGACCGCTAAATTTAAGTCCAAGGTTGTGTTGGGTAGAAGGATTATCCGGAGAATTTCCCGTCGAGACGGCTTCGCATTGGGCGTTCCGCAAGCCTGTAAGCCTTGAAAAATTGGAGCCCACAGCTTAGTCACTAGCAGCAACAGAGAATCGGGTATTGGCACCGCAACTTTGTCGCGATGTCGCTCTTTGCGCTTTTCCAGAGACCCGAGGCTTTCCCCGTTTGCGACCCAAGAACTGCTTATTTCGGGCCCCAAGCGATCCCAGCAACGTTCTCCCCTCGTCTACGTCTATGGAGCAGGCCACCGTCATGGTTTTTTTGAAGCGGTTCTGCTGATGACTGAGAGCGATTGACTCACCGGGAGACAAATCTCGCGCTCTCGGGCGTATCTTTTGTGCCGAAGGACATATACGTCCAAAACAATCGCAAAACTCACTCACTCGCACAAAACACGAAGCGAAGTACCTTCCAAGAGTTGACTGACAGTCGACTCTTGTCACCTTTTCCCCATCATGTCCACCCCCCACAGCTATGGAATCACTCTCCCCAACGGCTGCACCATTGTCCACGGACAGGGCGCGAACATCAAACACCCCTTTCGCGACATCCCTGTGGAGATGCACGAGCTGGACCCCGGCGGCCAAAGGGCCTTTTCGGGCCAACTGGGGTTAATTGAGTTCACGACCGACTTCCGACTGCCGCGACATGTACACATTTCTTCTTCTTCTTCTTCTTCTTCTTCGCCTTCGACCTCGATAGAGGCAGACACACGTCCTGCAACTACGCAGACGCAAAAGTTCATCGCCGAGCGCATCGTCGTCCTCAACGGCGTCGCCCTGGTCGAGCTCAACGGCACCATCTACGTAATCCCCCCCAAGACGCTGGTGACCATCGCCCCGGGCGTGCCGCACACCTGGACCGCATGCCCGGCCGGCGTGTCTGTGCCTGTCGCGGGTGGCGCCGCCGCCGCCGCCGCCGCCGCTCCTGCCGCTCAAGTGTACTCTGACGGCACGTTCCTCATGCTGTACGAGTACGAGGAACCCACGGCGTTTTTCCCCACGCGCCAGACCCGCACGTTGGGCTCTGTGGACGAGTACGAGCGCTGCGACGACCTCGAGGCCATCAGGATTCCGAGGCTGAGCGCCGACGAGGTCACCCGACGGTGCTCCTTTGTCTGTGACAGGACGCTGAGTTCTCCCTAGTAGTAAAAGTACTCGGGACCTCGAGTGAGAAAAACGGGGTCGCGTCTTTGAGAATATATATATATATATATATATACATACATAGGTGGGGTATGTACTGTAGGGTATGTATGTATGTATGTATGTATGTATTTCCATTTCGAGACCGGAAAGAATCAATCAAGAAAGAAGAAGGGGGAAGGAGGAGGGAGTACAACATAATCCAATGAAATCGGATACAATATATGCGCGGAGGCCTGGCTTGGGTGACTCGAGGCGAGATGTAGAGTAACCAGCCAAGTATCCGGCAAGCCAGCGCAGGACAAAAACCCCGTTCTTTATTTATCTGTTCCCCTATATCGCGTCTCCAGAGCAACCTTGCTCAGCCTCCTCCGACATATGTGTAACGTGGCTTGAAGTGACACCCGACGCAGCCGTGGCCGGACGACTGAAGAAACGACGGTCGAGATACGCCTCCCTCTCAGCACCCAGGGCCATCTTCGCCAGATACTTGGTGGCCCATCCCCAGGGCGCGGAACCCCGCGAGGTCGTGTCTCTGACGAGCAGACACGCCCAGGCAAGGGCGTCCCCGTCGCACGTATCGTCCAGCCCGACTTCCCGGGCCAGTATGGCAATTTGCGTCTCCACGCTGTGTTCGGACGCGTAGTTGCACCAGCGGCGCACGGTCCTCTCCAGCCAGTTCACGTAGGCTTGGATCGCCACCGCGAGCACCCGTTCCGTGGCGCTCAGACCGTCCACGGCGAGGATGTCGTGGCCGAGCTCCGTCATGGAGTCGTGCGGTCCAGGGGTGACGCTGTTGTCTGCGAGCCACTCGCAAAAGAGCTGGAGGAAGTTGACGCACTGCAGGCTGAGCCGGCGTTGCAGAGCCAGACAGGCCAGGCCGGGCGGGAGTTTGGATATTTTGACCTGTAAGGCTCGAGGGAGCGGTTGGGAAGGATATTCTGCAACCGAGTCACTGGTGAGCTTGAGCCCCTGTGCTTCGTCCTGGCTGCGTTGGGTCTGTTGGCGGTGCAACACGGCGGCAGACTCAAACATCCTGATATGTACCCGAGACGCGGTGTTAGCGGAGGCACAAGAAAGCTGCCCGAGCGTCAAATTTCCGTTACATGATTTCTTACCCGACAGCCGATATCTTCAAAAAGCCACTCCACCCCAAGGAATCGAGCCCTCCACGGAGTTCGACGATGCGACGGACGCCTTGGACGTGTGCCTCGAAAGCAGCATGATCATTCAACATGCGCTGCACTTGCCATATCAGCGAGGGGCCTCCAAGAGGTATTCCGTATAGCGGCACAGCGAGAAAGCGGGAGCAGCCATACGTAGACAGAAGCCATTGGGAAGATGGTAGCGAGGACAATGTCACTCGTGCAGGTCGCCGGATCTCGCAACGCGTCTCGCAACTGGACGACAGTATTATTCAGGTGGTAAATGACAGCCCTCGACAGACGCGTCGTGCTGTCCATGTGAAGCCGCTGCATGGTCAGATTCAAGGCGATCATGGAACTGCAATACATGGACGTCTGGAGCACGTTGGTCCTCATGATCTGATGCTGGGCCGGGTTGTAGTTGCCCAAGCTCAGTGCGAGCGGGCACAGGACTTGGAAGTCTGCAACATGAGCGTCGAAAGAGAACAGTCAACACAAGACCATCTCCTAAAAAAAAATAACTTATGGTAGTCGAACCCGCTCATTGCATCGCACGTGTTTTCCACGGGAAGAGTCCAAAAAGGGTCATCTCGCAAGCCGCCAATTTGTCCAGACAAAGGGGTTGCAGACGCCTCAGAGGGATCAAAATAACTCAACAGCAGAGTGTTTTGTCTGCGAGCTGCATCTCTTATTGCCTGACGTCTTTTCTCATGTTTGATACGAGCGTGATGGGCATTGATGGCAGCTAATTCGGGGTTACGGCCAAAGTTTCCGATATTTCTGTTGATGAATGTGACAAGCATAGCGGTGGGTTAGGACAGGAAGAGGCATATTAGATATTCGGACAGAGATTGTCGATAGAGGCGGATGGGAGGGTAGAGCATGGCATTCATGTTCCACATCGAGATGCGTCAAGACAGTTGCCAAGACTAGCTAAAGCAGCGCATATATACAGCCATCTCGGGACACAATTGATGCCGCCTTATCCTCGCACCTCTTCCTATCTATAGAGTCGCAAGGCTGCAACCCCAGGTATAGAGAGGGTTAGTATTGCGTTTGCTACATTAATCACCTTGAAGAGACGCCGATATTTACGGTTTGATGAGAAGCTTCCCACTAGTGTGTCTTCCCTCGAGATCCTATATCGACATAACCGTCAACCTGGTAACCTTTGAAAGAGAGGGATTCTCTTACCGATTGTGCCTTTGCCACTTCCTCCAAAGGATAGATCTTGTGGATTTTGACACTGACCTTGTTGGGGCCTTCGAGCAAAGCAAACCAGTCTCGGCAGGTTTGTTCAAACTCCTCCCGAGTGGTGAGGTAGTTGAACAGGGACGGACGAACCAGTTTGTTGTTCTTTGCGGATAGACGACTGCGTGGTTGGAGGCGTATCGAGTTAGTAACAGGTCTGGAGGAGGAAAGAGATAGCTGGAGTAGAAAAGAGAAACCCACGAGATGGCAAATGGTGGAACCGCACCACTGGCATTCCCGAAGCTGACAAGAGTCCCCTTCCTCTTGGTCACCTCTAGACTGCCATCAAACGTATCCTTCCCAACCCCGTCGTATACAGCTTCGCAAAGCTCTCCGTTCGTGGCCGTCGTGACCTCTTTGACCCAGTCAACACCGGGCTTCCGGTAATCAATGACCACATCTGCTCCAGCGTCCTTGGCCCACTTGCATTTCTCTTCTCCTCCTGCCGTAGCAACAACCCGCGCCCCGATTCTTTTGAGAACCTGCACAAGGATCAAGCCAACACCACCGGCTGCGGCGTGTACCAGCACCGTGTCGCCCCGTTTCACCTTGTACGCTTCTTCCACCAGTCCAACCACAGTCAAACCCTGCAGCATACCTGCCACTGCATCTTCGTCTGATACCCCGCTGGGCACCTTGATCACCTTGTCCACTGCCACAGCGGAATACTCTGCATACGCTGACACACCCAGCCACACCACACGATCCCCAGCCTTCAACCCATATTTGGTAGCTTTGGAGCCTGTAGCTACGATCTCGCCGACAGCCTCACGCCCACCGATTTCGGGCTTGGGTGCCGGGTAGAGACCCGTGCGGAAGTAGATGTCGATATAGTTGACGCCAACAAGATGGTTCTTGACCAGCACTTCGTTCTCTTTGGGCGTCGGGACGGGTTGATCCGTCGTAAACCTGAGAACATCGGGGCCTCCGGTCTTTTCGGTGACGACGGCTTTCATGGTCTTGGGGTTGGTGGCAAACGAAGACATTGCTCTAAAGCGACAAGAGGGCACTCCAACGACGGGCGACGACAACGTCGAACTGAAGCTCGATGATCGTCGGGTCCACTCTGGGGATATAGGCCTCCTCAGCGAAGCAGCGGCAGAGGTCGATATTGATGAATGCTGTATGAGTGGCACTGGCCCGCACCAAGCAACCATCGAATTTGTCAGAGGGCACGCCTTGATGGAGTAAGGCGGACGAAGTCGAACTGACATGGTAGGGGATAGAGACGGCATTGTGACCGTCGCGTTCCAATAGACTTGATTATGGAAGAGGTGCCTGGGCTGGTTGCACGATGGATCGAGAACGGGTTGTCCCTCGTAGTTTATCGGGCCTGAAAATTTATCCGTCCCGCAATTGACAACAACCTGAGCTTCGCATTAGTCAGGTTTGTAATGCATGCGGATCATTTGACGTTTCCGCAATTCGAGTTGCTGATGGAGCGACAATGATCTGACGACAATATCTCATCGTCCAAGAAAGAGGCGAGACAAGACGAGATGCACAGGTGGAAAGGGGGGCGGGATGCGGTCCGCACTTGCCGCACTTGTTACCGAATAACTCGTATTACTCAGTACAGCCTCGCGGGGTGGGGCCTGCCGCGTCTGGACGTGGATGTGGAGACTGACAGGCATCGGCCCGAGAAGTGGCCAATCAGGCTCCGACCGGCTGGACTTCCACTCTTGACATCCTATGTACAATGTACTCGCACAAGGACAGGTTGGTGTGTGCCACAGGTATGGCTCTTGAATGCGGGACGATGATGATCTTGACGAGTCACGCCGACTATCACACGTCGCTGCTGAGTTGCCTCAGAGTGCAGGGTGTGGACGATCCATTAAAGAGATGAAGTATACGAGGATGAATAGATCGGCAAGTTCTTTCCACTTATCACAAGACTCGACGTCAAAGACAGTCACAAGTCCTTACCGCCATGGCAACACCAACACCAACGGCGGCCATAACCCCCTTTACAAAACAGTCGTCGTCACCAGGCCGTGTATCCGCCATCAACGAGTAAATCGGCCCCAGTCATGTACGAACTGGCGTCGGAAAGCAGGAACACGACGGGTCCCCGATAATCCTCTGGGACCGAGAGCCGCCTCAGCATGGTCTCCTGTGTCCACGTGGCCTTAAGGCTGCCCTCTGAAAGAACGGGTGACGACATTGGGGTTCGGATGACGCCCGGGCTGATGGAGTTGACTCTGATCTCGGGCCAGCCGTCGCAGTGAGACCATTCGGCCGCCAGATTGCGGGTCAATTGATGGACACCTGCTTTCGAGGCCGAGTATGCGGCAGTGCCGACGCCCTGTGGACATTGGACAGAGTTTCGTGTCAGCGGGATAAGCCCTGACTTCATATAATAAGGGCAGTTGAAGGTTAGATCCCTCACCTTGTTGACGACGTAGCCGCTCATACTGGCTATGAAGACGAAGCTGGCTGACATGTTTTTCTTCCTCACAATGCGCGCCGCAGCCTGAGCCACGATCAGCGATCCAACGAGATTGACGTCGATGATTCGCCTAGCGGTGTCCAGGGGGAATGTGATGGAGTCACCCAGTATGCTGATGCCGGCACAGTTGACAAGGCCTCTGAGCGGAAACCGTGAGCAAGCTGACGCCTTTTCAAAGACAGTCTCCGTGTGTCCAGCGTCGGATATATCGCAGCTGTGGTAGCTCAAGGAGGCGCCAAGGTCGCTACTGATACTCCTCAGATTTTCTGACCAAAGGACTGTATTAGCATCCTCTGTGCTCGCCTCTATTCCTGACATATTGGGAAAAGTGAGGAAGGAATCCCTCCATAGCAGTGGTACACCCACCCCAGCTCGCATCGATCGGTTCATTCTGTACATAATCGACCGCGATAACATCGGAACCTGCCTGCAACAATGTTTTGACAACTTCTCGCCCCAGGCCACCCGTCGCACCAGTGACTATCGCGCATGGTTCATGTCAGCTCAGCTCAACAGGAAGCTAAGCAATGGCTCTGGTTGGTGTCCGATGGTCTGATTCGACTTCGACATACCGATAACACTTCTTGCATCAAGACTGAACAGACTCTGTATATTACCAGTCTCTTTCTTTGGGTCCGGGCCTGTCTCCTGTCCTTCTGTGGTGATCATATTGACCTCGAGGGAGAATTATACGTCCAAGAAGGCGAGTGGATGCTTTTCCTCTCGCTCTGTTATTACCAATTAATGCGGAGGAGAAGATCCCTTAGCTCTGGTGAAACTGAAAAAGGCCCAGCAGCAGGCATTATAAATTCTCAAACACAGATGCGAGAGGTATATTTTCCCGATTGAAAGCCACGAGAACAGTAACCAGACACCTCATATAGCCATGGTAGCATTCAATGTGATTGATTGTCAACACCTGCGTTAGAGCTCAGACAGCCTGGGTAGTATCTCCCCTTCCAGTTCCCCTACCCAGTTTTGATGTTCCCTCTCTCGAGTGAATCTGTCGTGTAAACTGTCTATTTGCTCTGGGACCATTCGCCAAGTAAGCGAGGGCGTCAAGAGTGCGGAGTATGTCCCGCCGCAATCCCTACTAGCCACGACCAGAGCCGACCAAGAGCCGGGACATGCGGGCCGCAAGCCGCCGTGGATGGGAAGCTTTTGCAGAAGATTGGCCCCTAGCGAGAACGGATGACAAGAAGGAATAAAATCGCATAATCGCCCCCTCTCCCTCCTTCGAACCACCTCTGTTGTCCACCACGGCCCCGACAGTAAGAACTGGGAGGAGAAGCTTGTCCCCCTAACTCCATCGCAAGCTGTTACACCGACACACCGACCAGCTAGCCCATGCAGTAACGCTGCTTAGTGGCAATCGAGCAGGCAATTTGCAAAGCACATTCGAGAGCCGAGCCGGGCCACCCCCAAATCCTGAGCATCTCGACCGTGCGGCCCTGCAGCATCTCGACGTCGGTGACAAAGCCACGAAGTGCGGGCGACTGAAACGCGAGAGATATGACCAAGAGGCAGGTAAAGCAGCTAAAGAGAAGGACGAGTTAGTGATCCTGATCGAGGGAAAGACAGCAGCCTTTCCTGCTGGTCCCAGCTTACTATTGCGCCGCAGAATATGTGTACGGAGACCTGTGTGACAAGAGATGGCCGGCGGTGAGGATGTAAGCGCGACATGCGCAGAGACAAGAATGGCACTTTTCGAGGACCGACGGAGGGATGGCGGCAGTTCGATCCGACATCTGAGACGTGACATACAACACAAATGGCCGATATATGTTCTGTTTCGAGGACCAGTAACGCAGGCGAAGCAAACAACCGTTCTTGCCGTCGTGGAGATCACTGGCAAGGTCCGGCTTGATTGCCTCCGGAAGCGCATTGTACCACGTTTCCAGCTGGCGGTCGAGCTCTTCGCACACCCGGAACAGCGAATTGCTTGGACCGGGACGCAATCTGGGCGTGGCTAGAGTGTCCAAGCCGCGCCCAGCATAAATCGCCAAGCTATCGGCAAAGTAGACAGCACGGTGGATCCGATTCTGTAGAAGCCGCACGGATATTTCGGCCAGCGAGTAGAGATTGTCGGCCGTGGGTGACTCTCCGTATCGTGGAAACGGAATGGAATCGACCAGCAACTCGATGCCGCTCCTCGGTTGGTGAAAATCAGCTTGGATGTCGCTAGACTCGCGAATTGAGTCAGATCTTCCGCCCACATCATGAGGGAGTCCTGCTGTATAGGCAAAATGCGTACCATTCAATAGTAAAGCAAACCCAGCTCAGGCGTGTAATTTCCTGGATCTCCACGTCGGTCGATGACATGTCGTTACAACTAGTAGCACCGTCGTGAGGGTTAATTCATCCAATACAAGCCGAGAGAGGAACACGAGAGGGATTTCTCACCGGATCAGCATCTGCTGTATATTTGTGGCAGCCATGTGGATGAGTCTCCAGGCCATCAACGGCTCGACAGAATACGTAAAATACAGCGAACCCAGAATGAGGCCCTGGCAGAGCTGGATATCGCCCCGAAAAGACAGACTCCAGGATCTGAACAGAATACGGAGTGCCTTCTGAACCAGCCGGTCCCCGGAACAAGGGCCAGACTGATTGCCAACAGGATCCGAAGCCGTGGCTCCCAGGGCAAGGAGAGCCAGGAGTTTGGCAGACTGGTTATCTCTGCCTAGACCCTTTCCCATCGCGACCTTGTACTCCCCTGTCAAGTGGCGTGGATCCAGAAACGGGTGGAGTGGATGGACCAAGTCGAGGAACTTTCGGAAATACTCGTCAGCTGTAGTTCTGGATATGGGCTGATCCTCGTCGACAGGGACATGCGACGCATCGACAATGACCTGCATCGCAGCTGGCGGAGGGCGCCGGTTTTCGACTTCGAAAAAGAAATCTTCTGGGAAATCCCCGATCAGATGCCTCAACTGCGGCAATGCGAGGAGGCTCCCTGCACCTGTCTGATGGCCCAAGGGGATTGTGAGCGGGGGAATGGCCTCTAGATCTGGCTGAGACAGCGGGTCGTCTTGCAGGGCGAGAGAGAGTGTAGAGAGTGACCGGCGGGGGCTCTCATAGGATCGACTGGCGACATTCCCCTGCGCCAGCTCGCTGTGGCGTCGACCTAGATTGGTCTCTGGTGGGAGGGACTGAATAAGGTGTGATTGCAAGGCCTCGAGCGTAGTCACCTGTCGTTGTAGAATGTTCTCAATGGTGTCGAGACGACGTGCCAGTATCTCGATGGCAGTATTTTCATCCCTGGGCAGCATCAGTTCAGCAACATGATGAATGGGTCTGGTCGCGGAGACAGCATTGTACTTGTGAACCGCTGGATCCTGGTATGTACAATCCAGGCCTCTATTCTGACACGACCTGCAGGGAAGACCACGACCGTCGCACCGTCTCTTCCTAGTGATCAACCGGGTCAGTGCCGGGTGTTGTTCGTACTGGTGACATTTGACCCACCGAAGGCGACAGGAGATACACGCCAAACGGCCTCTCTTTGGGTTGGTGCTCATGGCGGCTTTCTGTTATAGGACACGCTCCGAGTCAACAATGTGACACGATCAAGAGGAAAGGACTCGGATGATACAAGCGGGTTGAGTGGGTATCATTAGTCTACCTTGGTAAAGATATCGATGAGGGTGGGAGGAGGTCGGAAGCCACGTAGCGTGGTAAACTGAGCGTCAGATTATCCTGGGTACACGGCTGGTAGGAGATCAATAGCAGCAATCAATCTCGATCTTGTTCTGCTTGTCCATGTTCTGGGTTTCAACAATGACGGATGATCTTCCGCCCCTGGATGGGGGCTATGGCCTGAGGTCGCTAGAGTCTCTTTGGATGCGTCTTTGCTATTCGCCCGCTCTTCTCTCCGCCCTGCATTGTAATCTAGTTCATCGTACAAACGTGCTTGAATAGATTGACATTTTTCTTGTCGAGGTGTTGTTCGAGTACAGTAATAGCTGTGGTTACCACTCAGGGCATGTCATCAGTCCTGATGTCAGGGGCTCCTCTATCGCAAGTCGGTGCATACATGTATTCTATATTATACATAACGCATACGTCTCCACCACCTTCGCCGCAGAAGACGAACGATATTCTACAGTTGCACCGTGCTATCACTCAGGATGCCACCACCTACTGTGCCAACAGCAACACCTTCTGCTTTTCACAAAGACATCAAGTGCCCTGCCCTCGACAAAGAGTCAAGCATCACCTATCTTGACCTGAACTTTGAGACTAAACTATCTCTCCCGCCGACAAAGCGTCCTCTTGGTGAAGCCAGCCCAAAAGTGAAGGCTCCAAAACTTGATCGCTATGTCCGTCCCTCTGAATGGTCGCCGGCTCGGAAGAACGTAATGCTCTGTATTGCTTGTGTCGCAACAATCTTTGCGTCTTTTGCGGCGAGCGCATATTCACCCGGCGCTGAGCAAATGGCAGAGGAATTCCACGTCAGCCATGTGGCTGTGATGGTGGGGATCACGTCTTTCAACATGGGCTTTGCCATTGCACCGATGGCTCTGGCACCATTCTCCGAGGTCAGGGGCAGAAAGCCCGTCTTCCTCGCCAGCGGCATCGTGTTCCTTGTATGCAACATCTGCTGCGCAGTCACTCCAACATATGCAGGGTGAGAAGCCGAGCAAAAGCACGGTGGAAAGTAGACTGACGGTGACAATCTGCAGGATGTTGATATCCCGCTTCTTCGCTGGAGTCGGTAGCTCGACCTTCTCGACAATGGTCGGAGGCCTGGTAGCCGATATCTACCATGCTCGAGATCGCAATCTGCCAATGGCTCTTTTCTCCGGAGCAGCTGTGTTTGGCGTGGGCCTGGGTCCTCTTCTTGCCGGCTTCATAGCCCAAGGCACTACCTGGCGCTGGATTTTCCATGTCCAGACGGTCGTCATTGGAGTTGTGCTCGCTGTCATGGCTGTTTGCTTTCGGGAGTCTCGAGAAGACGTGATCCTGCGATCAAAAGCCCAAGCCTTGAACCATTGGTATGAATCACGAGAGCAGGTCGGGCTCTTTGATCATTACCACTCTCCATCTACCACGCCTCCTCAACGTATACGCTGGAAGATAGAGACAGGTGCTGTGTCGGCGCCTTTGAGAAAACAGGTTGCCGTCTCCCTTACACGGCCATTCTGTCTTCTGTTCACTGACGCGGTGGTCTTCTTCTTCTCCCTCTGGGCAGCTTTCAGCTGGTCCGTGCTGTACATCTGTCTGTCGTCCATTCCGCTTGTCTTTGGGCAGACGCATGGATTTGACCCGGCGCAGTCCAACGCCGTCTTTGCATCTTCTTGTATCGGTTGTCTGGTTGCGACGGCACTGGGAACGGTGCAAGAGGACCTGACGAGGAAATTACTGAGGACAACCGTAAAGAATGAGCCTGAGACTCGTCTTTACGGCAGCTGTCTTCAAGGCCCTCTCCTTCCCATCGGACTATTCATGTTTGGTTGGACGAGTTACCCCTCGATCCACTGGATGGTTCCCACCATTGCCATAGGCGTCGCCACCATGGGAATCCTTAGCATCTATCTCGCCGTCTTCAACTACCTGGCAGATGTGTACGGCACATCCGCGAGCTCGGCGATTGCAGCGCAAAGCTTCTGCCGCAATGCTCTGGGAGGAGTCTTTCCCCTGGTGACAACCCAGATGTACAAAGCTATGACGACGGGCGGTGCGTCAAGCTTCTTGGGCGGGTTTGCAGCTCTCCTCAGCTTTGTCCCTTGGGTACTTGTCTTCTATGGCAAACGATTCAGGGAGGGGAGGTCTGTTTACTCCAAATGACTACGTCGCTCACCACAGCCACCGACAATGCGTATACACCTTGGAACCAGCTCCACCCTCTAAATATCGTCACTTTTGGCAAGAATTATGGCGGAAAAGTGAGTCATCACCCAGCACAAACTTTAGTACCGCGAGGCTGCCAAACCGCAAGCAGTGTGGTACTCGAATCGCATTTGACATGGATCCTTGGTAGCCATAGGCAAGAATGTGGTACTGAGAATAAGTCCTCACTAGTACAACGAACGACTGCAGAACACGCTGGAACTACATGTTTAAAGATTAACTTGATGCTGGAGCCGAAGCCACCGTGTTCCATATAAGGACCTTGGTGTTTTATATAAGGGCCTTGTGCCTTCCGTAATTTCCTGAACGCTCCTTCCTCAGCTGATCAGTAGACGATAGACTCTATTTTCGTTACCTCTTATGATGGCCTTCGACTGGAAATATAGGTTAGTCGGCCGCCTGTGACATCTGACGTATAGCTAAGAGATAGGTGAGGGTGCCTACAAGCTCAGAAGATCTCCTTTCATAGTAAGTAACATTGTCACTGACTCTCTCAAGTCACTCATGACATCTGACCTACGGTGTGCCGGCGAGATGTCCGGCTTAACTTGTCTTGATGAGACCTGTCTTCAACAATATGGTCCAGAACAAATCCTGAGCGGATCTTTCCAGTTCCATTACCGGTGCGCTCGGCTCTTGTTGACGCCTTCGCACCCACAGATGTCAAACAAAACAAGGAGAACTTCTTATCGCAACAGGAAAATAAGGACTGCTTGATCCGCATTTATCTTGGTCGAAGACAAAGTCGACCAACAACTAACACATTCAGACTCCGCAACTTCGACATGACGGTTAATGAGATGGAATTCTTGCGACTCGACACTGTACTGTACGCCGAGACTCTGGCGCAGACGTTAGCAATTATCCACTGGAAGGTGAAACTCGATGCCAATGATGTGGAGTTCGTTTTCGGCAGTGCGCCCGCTGAAAAGAGACGACCTCTCGCCGCCGAACTGGAGGCCACAAGCAGGTTTGACGTGGGAAGGCTCGCTTCTGAAGTCGATTTCAGACACCGATCGATCGGCCTTTGGCTCCTCGATTTTGATCAGTGCAAGGCTTTCCCGGAGGATATGGATGGTGTCAAACAGCTCGAACGCGGCTTTTATTTCAATGACCCCTACTATCCTCGTCCGGTCTCGGAGCACCCAAAGGACGTTAGATTGTGGAATGCCTTCAGGGAGAGCTACCTAATCACGAGTGCTGCTTTTACGACGAGTGACATGCCAAGTCAATTCATTGATGCTGTTGAAGCAGAGGGAAGAAAGAGAAGACGTGGTGGTTCTATATTCCAGTAGAGTTGCCCTGCAGGTTGGTGATGAGGGCGTACACTAAAGGTACTGTTTACGCTCATTCAAATGATAAATGTTACCTAGTATGAAACGAGATTTTCTGAGCTTGTAGGCACCCTTACCTATCTCTTGGCTATACGTCAGATATAACAGGCGGCCGCCTAACCTATATTCCCAGTCTCGCTAGACGCCATGGGTATGGAGTATTGAGCTCCGATATCTCTGGGGGCCGTTGTAAACAATACCCCCAGACCTGACGGGGGGCCTCGCGCATTCATCAGTCATCAACGAGAGGTCTCCTGCAGGTATGAACGCACAACCCCGGAGTCTACTGGGGGCTAGCAGTGTCCAACCCGGGGTCTGCTTAGCATAACATGAGGAGAAGCTGTCATAACGGAGCGGACACGGCCCGTCCCCCCCTGTCGTTGACATTACCAAGCTTGACAGGTGACAAGAGTTCGTCTAAAGACCGTGGAACACCGACCTGCCAAAACTCGTTGATGAGGAATGAAAGGTGTCACAGTCACCAGTGCGGAATTAGGATCCGCAGGATGGGTGGCTGGCACGTCAACAATCCAGGAGTATTTGAGGTTGAGGGCAGAAACATGAGACGCACAGCCGGGTAACAATCTATCTCGAAGTATTTGGAGGATCAAAAGGCCCGAATCACAGCATAAAGCAAACGACAATGAGTAACGACAGTGTATCCTCGAATCGAGTCTCGAAGCGGACTCCAACCGTGGCAATCGGCGAACTTCCAGGCTCTTTGCCAAAGTCCCAGATCCCGGCAGACACGGACTGTGAAGCAGTCGCTCGCGCCCATCTGCCACGACTCCTATCGCTGTCAGTGGACGATGTCACAGAGTCTGTGATCTGGAGAGATTTACTGGCATTGACGGGCACGTTCCGGACCTTCTACAGCGCACCGAGCGTGACGGAGGCGTGGACAAACACGTTTGGTCGCCACGGCCAGGTCGACGACTTGCAGCTGACGCCGGGCACTGCAAAGGTCTTCAGCGTGCTCGACGCCTCGTCCTGGATCGATGCACAATTCACCTTCCGCGCCTCGCCGGGTGGTCTTCAACTGCGCTGCTCCGGGTTCATCTCTCTGGTGCCGACCGACAACAAAGGATGGAAGATCTGGATGATCCGCACGATCCTGGACGAGGTGGCGGATTATGGCAACGTCGATGTCCTGGACCCAGTCGTGCCTCACATCAAAGAGAGGGACAACGGACTTTCTCAACACTTTGACGCTCTTGTAATCGGCGGGGGTCAAGCAGGACTGGGAATCGGTGGACGCCTGCAAGCTTTGAACGTCTCTTATCTCGTGGTCGACAAGTTCGAGTCCGTGGGAGACAGTTGGAATACAAGATACGATTCCACCAAGCGTGAGTCCAATCCCTCCTTCCGGGAATTTGTACCACCATCAAGTCGCCGCCATATATCCAGAGCTGACCATGAGATTAGTCCACACGTCTCGAGAATATGGCAAGTATTTGGTACTTCGACGTCGTGGTTCTCCATGATTAATTTCAGACTTGCAGGACACTTGCCCTTCTACCGCACCTACGACAACTCATATCCCGAGTTTCTGACAAAGGCGGATATTGCAAAAGGCCACAAAGACTATGTCAAGAGATTCGGAATTGTACGTGCTCAAATATCATCAGGTTCATCTGACCTCCGCGGCTGACAGACGCCGCAGAATATCTGGCAGTCGACCGAACTCATCTCCAGCTCGTGGTCAACTCAACAGAAGATCTGGACTTGCAGGTTGAGTCGAGGCGGTGAAGAAGTTTCCGTGACGGCATTCCATCTCGTCTTTGCCGGCGGTTCAGGCGGACGGTGGCCCATGATGCCCTCGTTGCCGAACAGGGTAAACACTGACCACCGGCGGCTGTCTTTGCCCGGCATTTTTAAGCGGTGAACACGGCTGATAGTCACCCCATAGGAACAGTTCAAAGGCATCGTCCTGCATTCATCCGACTATCAAAATTCGAATGACTGGCGCGGACTCCACGGAGTCGTTGTGGGCTCGGCAAATACCGGTGAGTCGACTTGTCATCTATAGACATGTTGCCCAATTGTCTCTCTAACGCGATACCCTCAGGACATGATGTCGCCGAGGACATGTTGAATGCGGGTCTTGCATCGGTGACGATGGTTCAGAGGGGTCGGACATGTACATGATACCTCTTCCCTTTGCGTTCTGTCTCAAAGACTGACATTTTCTTAGATGTACTCCCGGCTGAACACTACATGGCAGTGACCAAAGGTATTGGGTCCCCAAAGAAGCGATATCGTCTTAGAAAAAAAAAAGCACTGAGGGGTCAAATATAGCATTCTACAACCTCGACACTCCAACCGAGAAAGCTGACGGGGAGAGCTTTTCCTTCCCTGCTTCCATCCGCCGCCAAATCATCCTGAACCTCCTGCACGCAATGGCCCGGGATGATAGCGAGCGGTTCGATGCCCTCCAAAAGGCAGGCTTCGACGTCGAAAGATACGGAGACCTGATGCACATCCTGTTCGAACGTCTCGGCGGCCACTACATGGACGTGGGGGCCTCGGCGAAGATCAGCGACGGATCGGTAGGTCATGAGTAGGAGTCCCAACTGAACCTGTCCACCCGCTTACTGAGGACGACGTCTCAGATCAAGGTCAAGTCCGGAAGTTCTCCCACCCACTACACGGCCACGGGGCTCGCATTCGACGACGGCACGGAGCTCAAAGCCGACGTGATTGTCTTCACCACGGGCTTTGTGGGCAACCTGCGCCAGATCGCCGGACGGATAGTCGGGCCCGAGATTGCGGATCAGCTCGACGATTTCTGGAGGGTGGATGCCGAAGGGGAGCTGAGAGGAGCATTCAAATATGCTGGGCGTAAGCACCTCCTCCATCATCTATCTGCCAGAGACAACAAAAGGCAGAGGTAAACAATGGGGACTAACGTTTCTTTCTCCCTTTCTAGATCCGGGACTGTGGTTCACTGGGGGCGACATCGGCATTGCAAGGTACTATGGTCGATTCATTGCCTTGCAGATCAAAGCACACTTGATGGGGACTCCGCTGAGAGTGTACGATGCGTGAAAGAGTTTTGCAGAAGCGGATATACGAACTTTTCAACCTCTGGTGAGGCATTAGTTCGAAATACGGATTTTCTTCTGTAACGAGGTGAGAGAGAGAGAGAGAGAGAGAGAGAAAGAGAGAGGAGAGAGAGAGAGAGAGAGAGAGAGAGAGAGAGAGAGAGTGTGTGTGTGTGTGTGTGTGTGTCAATATGCTCCCTTTTTGCAATGTCCAGTCTTCCTCTCCCTAGATTTAGAGGACCTCAAACCTGTCCCCGTCTTAATGTACACTCTCCTGGTCTCTATCACCTGTGTGTGACTTGTACAACTAGACAGACCAAAATCGCACAATCACCCCTTTAGTCGTGCCTCCTCCTGTGACGAGCTAATGCTCCGCTAGGCGACTCTGTCGTGAAAAGGTCGTGAGACCTTGATCTAGGGTTATACCCTCAATGTGTCCATCGACCTGGCCAAGTCAGTAGGAACGTTCGTGTGTATACGCGACGCCCAACCTCGATGGTCGCAATCACGGTTTCACAAAGGGTCACAGACTTCGTCGTCGTTTTGAGAAACATCCACTTGGTTGCTTTCCCTACCTACTGTACGATCCCTGTCTTCGAATCAAAAGGTCTACCTAGCACTTGCAAAAGCCGAGCGCAATCAAGTCCTGTTTACATGCTGCCTGACCCAGGCGGCAACTGACGCACCCCATTCCTCCTCAGACTTCAGCCCTGTTCCCAGAGACATGGGTGGGCTGATGTGATTGTGGCCCATTATCACTTCGGCATCTGTTGTGACGCCATTCTTTCTCAACTCGGCGACAAAGTCATTGTTGGTCTCGACTATAACGTCGGGATCCAGTTCACTCCAGAGAATCAGCAGTGCCGGCCACCCCTTTTTCAGCTGCCCTTTCAACGCCGCAGACCGCAGTAGTGCGATCGGAGATCTTGCGGTGTAGCCCTCCTCGAAGTACTGTAAGAGGAGATCTGGAAATGGCGGCGGGAGGTGGTCAAAGTCCATCAGAGCCCCTAAGCTGATGATTCCCGTCACCTTGCTCGTCTCGCGGCTTTGGTGGAAAGCATCGTCCAGCAGCCACGACATGGTGTTGACGCCTCCTGCAGAGTTCCCCAGGACAAACAACGGTCGATCCGTACCATATCTCTCCCTAACGTATCTCAAGACCAGGGCGAGGTCTTCCGATCCCGCGGGGTATCTCGCACCATGACGCACCAGGCGATAGTCGGGGATTATCGTCTCAAACCCTTGCTTCTTCGCGAAATAGTAGCCGAGATTTCGGTACACGAGCCCACCGGGTATGCTGTCAATGACCCTGTCACCTTCGACCCAAGCTCCACCGTATAGGAAGACTAGGATCGGCGCAGTGCTCGATTCGGCGGCATACACGTCCAACTTTTGGCGAGGGTCCGGGCCGTAGCTTGCAACTTCGAGGCTGCTACCCAGAATCGCATCTTTGGAGCTTCTGTTCAAAAGAGACGCGTATATTTCCGAAGTCTTCGGAATGACTTCCCAGATTGATCTTCCAAGTTGGGGAAGTTGGTCCATGATAGACTGGAGGGGGTTCCCCCGAGCAGGGTTTGCGGGAGTTGTCGTGGAGAGCTCTCCAATGGTAAAGGGAAAGAGTTCGCGAGGGAGAGACGACGTCAAGGTGCTACACTCACCTCAACACTCGGCAAGAGCGAGTCAGAAGAGAACGGGCTGGGGTGCTTGTAACTTTTATGGACTCCGGGGCTTCGCAAACAAGAAGTGAACATCACAATAATCAGAGTCGAGAGTCAGAACTGCCTGCCGAACGATAACTTAGGCGGTCCAATTTCCGCTTTGCCATATTGTAAGCAAGACTTCTGGCCCTATTGTGCTTGCTAATATGCCCAGAGGTTGACAATATGTACCGACACCTTCCAACACCGCGTATTGGACCGGGCCCGTTTTCTCCGTGCTCGGGCCGTGCTTGGGCTTGTTAACCCGGATGCATGCCGGACATCCTCCTATGTGAGAGTTGTATTCTGTAAACGACAAGTACCAATGGGTACGGCTCCTCGATACTCAGTTGGTCGTGGTGATGGTGGAGTGCGGGACAACGGCTGCATATGTGACGATGGTAGAAGTCCAAAAGGTACATGTATGCGGGTTATTGGTTGTGGGGGAAACTAGCTAAATGCAGAGTACGCGGTATGTGCCGAGTAATTAGTTGTACCTAGCTAGAATCAGTCTAACTAAACTTAGTAGCTCAAGACAAGCTAGTTGCCATCGCGAGGCTCTCGGAAGACATTCCTTTTTCAGACTCCCATATAGTGTCTAACAGAATCTGTCCTAGTGATCCCGCTTTGACTCTCCCCCTCACAGCATCATCAGCTCGAAATGAAAGGGGCCAAACCCAGGATCTGACGCAAATAGTATTGCCAAGTCCTCGACTCTTTCTTTGCAAGACTAAATCGTTGTAGGAATGTAGAGGTGTGGAATTCTGTTGCTGTGTACAAAGTATCCAGCCGTCGTCGGATCCCGCTGTTGTTCTTTGGGGAAATTATTAAAACCCCCTTGCAGCATGACAGAGACGACCAGCGATTGGTCATGTAAGGTGCCGTAGGTGACGCGCCGGAAGTCTGGGCTCTAGTCCCTTGCATACTTCGGCTCTCCATATGGCCTGAATCAGAGCAAGAGGTCGGCATTCTCCAAAAGCAAATCCCCCCTTGATGACTACGATGGTAAACATGGTTGGAATGCTGCACTGTCGCGGCTTGCGGAATCTGGGCAGAGTCTTGCCGAGCACCATTTCTCTCAAGGGGGAGTCTTTTGGGTCCCATAAAAAGGCGCAAAGTCTGCAATGCAATCTTTCTTTCCTTCCTTCGCCTCGCAAACTCCTGAACTTTCCGTCTGACACGACACCAGCCTAGTCACTCAACAACTGCACCGCGAGAGTGTGACACATAACGATGCTTGATTGGGACAATGGAAATCCTGTGGTCGAATACGACTATACCCATCCGGAGCGCCACCACAAAGGTCTTTTGCCGTTCAAACCTTTCAAGAATCACAGAAATTGTTACAACAGTGGTTACTATCCCGGGAAGATCGATGGTATCTATCAACGGTTCGTACGGGGGTACTCGGATGAGAGCAAGCAGGAGTTATGCTCTTCATGTGGCTGGACCGCGTACGATCAAACTACTTCCAGCTACCTGTCACGCATCAGAATCATGCATGCCCGGTTCAACATGGGCTTGTGGTCAATTGGATCCAAGTGGCTCATACGCGATCAGCCAAACGATAAATCAATGGGGGCTGAGTATATGACGTGGAAATTTCTCCACGAACAGCCTGGCCTTACTATCCCCCTGCCCAAGCAGATGCAACTCCTGAGTGATCCGGAGGATCCTATCCAGTTTACACTCATATCGAGAGCGCCGGGCGTGCATCTCTCGGCAATCTGGCACACATTGACTCCTGAACAAAAGCAAGGTTATAGGGACCAAATGGTTGACTTCCTCAAACAACTACGACAGTTTACGGCACCGCGCCCACAAAGGGTCAATGGGGATGAACTCGAGGACAACCTTGTGGCTATCTGCTGGAGGCGCCATTCACCGACCTGTATTAAAATGGGGTTCACCGAAGACGAATGGCTCGAGAATATGACGCCCGATCTCCGCCTTGGCCTCAGTATCGTCCACGATACCACGGACCCGACGGTCATCGAAGAGAAGCTCCAAGAAATCAAAGATAACTTTCCAAGAGGAGGACCGTATGTTCTGAGCCATACCGATCTCAACATGACCAACATTATCGTCCAGGATGACAAGATCCAAGCCATTGTCGATTGGGAGATGGCTGGGTACTATCCGTGGTGGGCAGAATACTATGCCGTCTTCTTGTTCGATGGCTGCGGCCAGGAAGAATTCTACAACGACAAGGATAATCCCCTCTGGTCAAGAGTCCACCCAGACTTTGTCTTTGATGGCCCTGTCTTCACAAAGATTAGGGTAGCGTTGGGACTAGTTGTTCGGGCTTTCGGCAGGACTACACTCCATGCAGAGCACCACCCACCCAAGGACGCGCCTGTGATAGGTTTCTGGCGTCCCCGATTTTGCAAATGTCAGCCTTTCGGAGGCACCATCCCCGGGCCCGCGTTCGGAGTCTTTCTGGAGCATAAGCCCAAGGGTTTGGACGCCTACAGAAATGAAAAGTACGACAGCAACAACGTTATCAAAGACACAGCCGACTCAACCGAAAGGTCCCGCTTTCCGTTCTGCTTCTAGGATACAACAGCAGCAGGAGATGAAGAGGGGATAAGAAATTCTGCATGGGAGTTCTGCGAGTTTCGCGAGTTTCGTATCCTTCACAGACTGGGTATCTGGAGAAATTGACTTGAAATATTTCAATCTGGGTGCCTCTACTTGCGCTGTGTCCGTTGATTCTTTTCTTCCCCTTGTAAACTTGACATCCTCTTTCTCTCTCTGCGCATAGCCGTCAAACCGATACACTCCTATTGCTAGTTCCGCATAGCGTTGCCTAAACGAACTCCCCCGCCCTCCCTTCTCTCTCTTCTCCCTAGACGTCTGCCCGTGGAGTAAGAAATCCACATCTCATCTTCGACAAGATGCGCATCAGACGATTTCTCCCTCCAACGTCTGTCCTCTGTTAGTGTAAAATTCGCGAGTTGGGGAAAAGGCCAAGGCGAAGGGAAAGACCACAGCAGGTCATACTTGCCAAAGAATGTGTTTCCAGGACCTAGAATGTGTTCCACTGCAATACGAAACATCTGCTGTGTGTCACTGCCCCATGTAACGGTTTCCGTAGAACCTGCTGCATTGTCACGCATGCTGGGAGGCGGCCCGACCGAAAAGCTGATGTCTCCATCGGGAACGCGGACAAGAAGGACTTGTAGCCTAGCGTCTCCGACGTAGATAGCAGATCTGGAGAAACGACCAAGCACTGCCGAGAGAGTGCTGCCCGAATGATCGATCGCGGTTGCCTCGATGACTGGTGGTCGCAGTGGGCCGAAGGCGTAGATCTCCCAGTCGAGAGGCTGCCGCTGGTCGCCTTTGGAGGGTATTGTCACCGCTCGGCAGGCTTCGCAAGTTGTCGCATACGATGTGTTGTTGAAGTCACAGAACACACATTTGTGTGGAGAGGACGCGAAGTTGCACGGTGCCATTGTGCTGAGATGTTGCAACCAAGCCACAATGATGTCGATGGACTGTTGATAGTGAGGATTGAATGACCAGCCTGTTGATGGGTTGTTGATGGCAGAGGATGGAGTGATTTAGCCCAGCGATAGGTCTGAAGTGATATCTCTCGCTTCTTATACTCTTCTCATGTGCCCTTTCCGATGGTGCTTTGCTGGGAGAGTTTGCTGGTGATAAAAAACTTCCCACACATATCCTGCATTAGCCCTGGGTGAGGAGTGGAACATGATCCCGTGTCAAACAAAGGACCCCCCTGCCATTCAATTACTGTAAGATGCCGGAAAGTCGGAGGCAGCCCCAAAGAGCAAACATCAGCCCGGGAGGAAGCTAGCAAACAATGAGGACACAACAGAGAGATACCCAGGAAATAAAGCAAGCAAAAGAAAAGACTGTTTTGACACCACAACATCGGAAGGCTTTCCGCCGGGGCTGTGATGGAAGCCCGGGATTGAGAAGCCGTTGATTGTTTCTGCAACAGGTATACAAGTTGTGTAACGCGTCTAGAACAATCCTTCCCCTGACCAACAGCCACGGCTAGATGGACAGATCCGCACAGCTGAATGCCGGCGTAGCACCACCTGAGTAGTCCGCCATGATGGCTTTGACGGCGGCATAGAGCCCCGGTCCAAGTAAGAACAGTCCGACAAGCATGACGAAAACGTGGGTCACTGTCATGATAGACCTATACACACCATTGAATAGTCTCCCCTTGTACAAATGGTAGTACGCCACTGCAAAGAAGATAAAACCGAAGAATGAATCGAATGCCGCTCCAAGTAGAGAGAGGAAGTCTCCCATGCTGGGGATAACCTCAGCAAAGATGAATGAGACGACCCAGATCCCAGCCATGACCAGAATCCAGACACCCCATCCGGTGACAGTGTTGCTATGAGCATGACGAGACTTGCCCATGACCCGGAAGTATATAAACTTGGCTGTGACATTTGCGTAAATCACGCCGATGACGAGAGTTGGCACAATAACGAATGCGAAGGACCCTTTCTTGTAAGCCGTAATTCCCAGGCTGCCGAAAGCTGGAGCAGTCGAATATTGACCCAAGTAGTGGAACCCGATAGCTGGAGGGCAGATGAACAAGAAGGTGGAAATGGCAGCGAGAACCGCGAGGGACTTGGGGAAATCTTGTGGCTTCTCCATCTCTGCGATGAAAGTTGGAAATAGGATCTGGGGTATCCATAAAAATGTAACATTTAATACTGAATTTAGACTGTCTTATCATTAGCAGCGAGGCAAAAGAATGCTCCTAGGAAAGCCTATGCTGTATAAGATCCTTCTCGGTGACACTTACCAATCGACCCAAGTAGTGCCAGGGAGTGGGAAAGCGTAGGTTCTGACCTCTCCAGCCGCAGGATAAACACCGTGGTACCCAAAACCAGGATGTTGCTCAATGCCGGCAAAGATCAGAAAGAGGAGGATCGAGATTGCCATGCAGGCAGCTGTGTCTATGGATTGGCGAATGAAGCGGTGGTGGCTAGACTGACTGAAGGCTTACCTGAAAACATTGACATGAAAGAGATATGACGTAAAGTCCTAGGAACAGACATAATGATACCCCTGTTCACCGTTAGCGCCGGAGGATATATCAAGAAGGGCACGTCAGATTCGAGAGACACATACATCAGCATGACGATGATCGAGAAGACAACGGTACATTGGGAGTGATTCGATAAAGTGTTGAGGACTTTGGCACCAGTGAGGACGTGGAAGCCAATAAGGAGGATGTTATTGGCGAGCAACATGAATCCAGTCCATTCGTATGCGATTCGACTCTTGCCAAAGGCGTAGTAACCAAAGTCACCTTTTGTAACGACAGTCAGCCGGAGAATCCAGGCGGAACTGTAGAGGGCCCCGATCGTCCCAAGAGAAAGGAGAACGGACTTACAAATATCCTTGATTTGTGGATGCTTCATGATAAATTTGTGCATGGTAATGGAGGTGATCCAAAAGAAGATACCAGCACCCACCATGGTGATGATACCAGGCACCCATCCGAGGACGCTGATGAGGCATCATGATCAGTGCTGTGGGGATGGAAATGCAATTAGAAAGCCTTACGACAGTGACCATGTTTGGGCCATAATGGCGAGACAGACCTGATCGCCGGCCAGCAACCAGGCTGCTTTCTGCCAGGACATGGTTCGAAGCTTGATGTCGTGTTTGTGGTCTGTGGGAATATCCTGTTAGTAGATCATATGGCCTTTTTACAGCTGATGAAAGGCACACCTTCAGCAACCAAAGCACTAAAGACTTCGACAGGTGCATTCCCATTTTGTTCGTCACCAGCAACTTGGTAGAGAGTATCTACCTGCTTTTCGTCGGCGTAGGTGGATTTGGACATTGTGCGTGGCTGTTTCTCCAGGAACTAAGTTGTTGAGAGATGTGGAGAGAGGGAGAACTTGCGAGATCCTGGCAGGGTTTTAAGAGCAATTCAACAAGTGGTAGGGCTGCTGGAAGACCGTGGGCAAGGGTGTTATCTGCGAGAAAGATTTCTCAAGTATTCAGCTTATCATCGCAGTAAGCCATTGCGTGATAAACGGAGACTGGTTGTGATAGGCTACGGTGGGTACACCGTAGCAATTCAGGCAACGCCTTAGCGCCATCACATTGTCCTTTGAGTAGGTAGTCGCGAAGTTCCCGTCTCTTTGCCCATTTGCCTACGGAGCAACTCTGGTCCTAGAGCCCATCCCGATGGAGCTGGACGCGTTGACTAGGGGTCTGAGACTCGTGGCGTCAGTTGCAACCACAGAGGTGGGGGCGCGGCCAAACAGCAAGGCTATTCCTACCACATAGTCTCATCGCATTGGGGGGCTCCGCCAGTTCGACGTGGTTGGGTTAACTGAGCAGAAATGGCGAAAGCATCCGAAACCGCAGTGTGTGTCCGTTGCCATATGGCCGTCGCTTAGAACCAGACACCTCTCCACACATGATCAAGCCATGCTCGCTTTGACGGTATAACGGAAGCAGAAGTCAGGCCTCTCGTAAGGTGAGAACATGAGTGAGAAATGGGCTGTAAGGAGAGGTGTGCAGACAAGATTTTTGACAAGAGTTTCCAAGCCTTTTAAGGTGCACATCGGTGTGCGGGCGGGAAAGTAAAATCTATTATGTCAGACAAGGCTTAAGAGGTGGGAAAATCGTGTCATGTGATTGTTCATTCTACTGTGAGCTTCGCCTGCAACAGACACTTTTCTCCGCGGTGGAAAAAAGTGCTGATCTCTACTGCATCCAAACACGATACTCAGTCCGATAGAGTAGATTCTTCCTCGTCGCTGAAGAATCTGCATCAATATTGACCCAAGCGGCAAGTGGACTGAGGATTGCAATTACACAGTCTATGATCCTCTGTACAGTTACGGTGGACTGTGAATCCTTCAACATGCAGCGCAGTCTGCAGCACCTGCGGCTCCATCCCCCTACAACGATTACGATTCTCAGGCAACAGCACAGAAACACGCATTATTGTGCTACGACACTAATGCCTCGAAGATGAATCTCGACTCAAGATAGCACTGAAGGTGCTTGAACTCCGATACCTTCGCGGAATGATTGGGTTTTTGGACTATATTGTCCACGCCTTTGGGACGTCGACCGATTGGAATCCTGACAACAGCTACTCCTCTCTGACCGCAACGTCGGATGCGTTGCTCTCGTTTCAGACTCCCTCAACACTGTCGCTCCATGTCTCGTCTCTGAGCACCCCAAATTTCGCATCTTCATACATCTTGTCGACGTTGGGGCACATCGATGGCTCGATCTCCTACCTCTACTCGAGCATCCCATTGAGCCATGTTCCTTCAGAAGCACCGAGCATACCCCTCAAATATTTGACTCCAGGATACAGAGATATAAGGCTACCCCTGACGTTTCTGCCAGGTAAAAAGAAGGACAATTCCAGGTCTTTAAGCGAAGATGGGAGAAAGCCAATTCTGCTGCATGCAACACTGGACCTTCCCCCTCCATCAGTTCTGACGGCGTTGTATGCGCGCCGTATCAGTCCCGAGACTCTGCTCTCCATTTCAATATACAGCAAATCAACCTCGACACCAGTGACGAATACAGGTCCTCCACCGGCGTCGATCCTTGCCCATGTTCAGCACGATGCAGGCCAATATTCAGTCGAGGGGCTGGGCTCAACAGACAATGGCCTACTTGGAATTAGAGGTCTTTGGAATTTTGGCCTTAACGCTCCTAAGATGCAAGCCGCCTCTCCATCGAGACACCTTCCGTCACTACAGACTACGGACGCCACGGATATCTCCACAGATTTCTCTTTCCCCGGACCGAGCTCCCCACGGCAAGGGGATGCCTTGACTCCATATCAAATTCGTCTAGCTTCTAAGCCATCGCTGCTGTCTGCCGGCGCAGAGTTCTACTACAGCCCTCTTTCCCACGTTATCGGCCTCTCGACGGGCTTACGCTTCACCACCCTTACACCGCATATCACACCATCAGAGCCACCGCCATACCCTAGTCCTTCGCATCACAACCCGCGGGCGGGAGCGTCTGCCGCCATTCTTTCCACGGCATCTCATGCCCTGCTCACTCCCTCGAATGTGCCGTATTCGTCATTTCCATATACCATGACCTTAACCCTGACTCCCCTCACGGGATCCATATCATCTACTTACTCCGTGCGGCCGACATCGACACTGTCCTTGTCGTCCAGGTTCGACTTTAATTTTTATTCGTGGGAGTCTCGATATGTCGTGGGCGGAGAGCTGTGGCGGCCTCGCCGTCGGCGAACCTCGTCTTCCTCCCCCTTTTCCAGAAATGCAGAGGGTAACTCCGCTGCCTCCAGTTCTGACTACGAGACAGATAGAGATCCAATTCAATGGGCCCGTACCCTCACCAAAGACTGGTTCAGCCCGACCGAGCGCTCCCTCAAGGAGGAGCGAGTTGAACGAGAAGAAGAGACCGTGCTGAACTTCCGGGTAGACGACTCCTGGAATGTCAA